GCTTGCGTGTTTTCTCTTGTTATGCCTAAATTATTAAGTTAGGCCTGATTTGTCTGCAGTAGGGCAAGAAGATAATATCATTTTAAATAATGACCTTCTCTTGTGAAATCGGTAATAGAAAGAGGACCAGCTAGTGCATGCTTCATGAATGACAAGCTCACTTCTAGGTGTACGCAGTATTTTACATAAGGGAAGCTGAAAAGGCAACAATATGACCTACCATCACAACCAATGGACATACACGCCCCTCCCTCCCCCACTCCTTTCAAGTCAAAGATATCACTTTCACCTTCCCCTATCCCGTAGATTGGATGTCCGTACAGGGCGCTTTTGAAAATTTGGTCACCAGCTTCCTCCACTCCTTTGCGGTATTCAGCTTTCCTGAGCGTGTCTTTGAGTTCCAGGCCTGTCCATTCCTTGACGTTGCCCTCCCAAATCTTCTTTAGTCTGCTTCTGCTTCTTTAATGTCCCTGGACTGCTGCCTTACAGGATCGTCTTGGCAAGGCCTGATGAACGGGTGATGTGTCCATACCAAAGCAGTTTGCGTTTCCTGACCAGAGTGAGAAGGTCAGCGTATAGTCCAATTTCATTTTTGGTCCGTTGTTTGACTTCACCATTTGTGATGTGATCTTTGTATGAGATAACAAGGATTTTTCGGAAGCTTCTCATCTCCACAGAGATGTGAAAGTAAAATTGTTGTTTATCTCGTTCCTCCCACTCTGACCTGGATCAACAATGGCAAACACGTCTTGTACGGTTCCCAGATATTTGAAAGAGAAAGATACATTTAAAATACTTGTTTAATATAAACAATCAGTTGGCTATTTCATTGCCATGGCGTTCCAGTTTGATTTTAACTAAGTTACCACACATGTACAAATACAATTAATTACAACAATGATTTTGAATTTCTTTGAGCTGCAATAATAGTTGGTTTATTTCTTATTTTTCAAACAAAGTGGACTTGGGTTTCCTTAACAAGCCTGGCTTAAAAAAAAAAAAGAAGCTAGCTTGGCATTTGGAACGCAGACCTCTGGAAAGTCGGTAAAGTCACACTTCACACCGGTCGCAGGAAGTAAGTTGAAACTTTCGTTTTTAGTTTAGGTATCACCGGTACCACAGACATGTACATAATTGTCTCATGTTTTGTACTTTAAATTGTATTCTCTGGATAGTATTAATAATTACTATCGAACGTGTCATTAAACTTAATTTGGAGCCTCCCAAAAAGGGTAGGTCATGCATTTGATATTGTGCAAAGATAGGTGTTTTGCCCTTCATTAACGCCTATGGTGCTCAGCGAAGTTTTTGGAGGGGAGCAATGAGTGGCGGCCATGATAATGTACGATCTAGGATTGTAATTCAAGTCTATGGGTGTCTCTGAAACCTGGCAAAGTCCAATGTTCATTGTGTTGTGTGGCAAATTGGCAACTGCCGGGTGACATTTCGTGAGTCAAGATGGCAGCCTCCTTCGTCCGCTGCAAACCAGGATTATGTCCTCAAATGTTGAGGCTTTTGTTGTCACAGGTAATCGTGTTTATACCTTGCCACCTTTATTGCAGCCTCAAGATTATCATCAGTTCGGCATCGATCAATTTTTACATGCGACATCTGGTCATGTTCTTTACGTATTGCACTTGTTTTAGCACAATGTTTATTTTGGTAAAGTTTAGGCCACCTCTATTCTCACCCCGGGTGAGAATAGTGCAGGAGAGTCTTTTGGCTATTGTCACCCGGTGCGCGTTCACCGTAGCCTAGATCTAGGCCAACCAATTTTGTGCTCACCCTAAACCACAGAATTCTACACTGTGATAACAAAAAAATTGTACAATTCTGTGCCGTGAACAAATGTTCCGTACTGTTAGCCTACTAAAAGCGTACAATTTTGTCTGTGGGCAGTGGAGAGAGAGAGAGAGAGGAGTAGCGCGAGAACTTCCGGGCAAAACAAAATGGCGACCCGCGTAGTTCGGCCCGATTCGAAAAGTTAAATAGCAGTAGCATCTTTGTAGACGACCAAATTCATTTACTTTTGTGTTTTAACATCATTTTTTCACTTTGTTTTGGTCAATTTGATCGTCCACACCGATAGTCGATAGACAGTACAGTATTCAGAAAGAGACAGAGAGAGAGAAGAGGGGAGGAATCTTGCGAGAACTTCTGGGCAAAACAAAATGGCGACCCCCGTAGTTCGGCTCGATTCGAAAAGTGAAATAGCCATCATAGCATCTTAGTAGTCTTATAAAATTAGCTTACTTTTGTGCTATAACGTAATCTTTTCTTTGCCTTTATATCCATTTGATTATCCACATCGATAGAAAGTATTCTTGGATAGATCTAGGTCTTGTTTCACAGCGGGTGAGAATAGCTTACGGTGGCAAGTCTCACCCAGGGTGAGAGGTCGATCGTATCTATTCTCACCCAGGGTGAGAATAGCCACTTCCTTTGGTTTATATTTTCTCATCACATGTCATCATGTATGTACTGTTTGATGTTTGGACTTAGAATTGGACCCCGTCTTGCGTTAACTGTTGAGGTTAATATTTATAATATGGTATTAGATCTAGATCTATGACCAAACTGTCGCAAATGTTGCATTTACTATTTACTAGATGGCGGCCGTCATTATTCGGACTCGAGTCCGAATAACATTTTTTCATATTTGGACTCGAGTCCGAATAAAAAAATTTCATATTCGGACTCGAGTCCGAATATGAAAAAATGTTATTCGGACACGGTCTGGAAAAAAGAAAGTGTCTTCGTTCTGTAGATCTAACGTTCAGTGCTTCCAATTTTCCGCCATTTTTTAGTTCCCCCCACACTTTATCTGCCGATCCGATGCCCGCTGCCTCATTGATACGCCCCCCCCCCACCCCCCATGTTTCCCACTTTCTTAGTTGTAGAAAAAGGTAAAATTGAAGATTAGAAGATCACCTGGCACCTGCATGATATTATGAGCTGCGTAAAAAAAAAAAGACCGATTCGTTCAAATACACAAGCCTGTGTCATCTCGATTGTTTTACCAAGAAAAAGTTGTGTTGCTGTGTAGAGCTGAGCATACGGCAACTTTTGATTCCATAGACCAGCGCACAATTCATTACGTAGATTTACGTCAAGACTAGCTTATTATTGTTTTATTGTAATGATTAGTTGCCGGGGGGGGGGGGGGGACTTGATGCGTATGCGACGTTCAATGCCCGGACCGACAGTGACCCCCCACCCCCACTCCCCGACACGCACACACAGCCACACGTGTGCAGGCCGCCCATCCGACCCCGACACAGGCTAACGAACCATCTTTAATTGCTTCTGATGACCTCTTGACAAATAAACATTTATTAGAAGCGCTATAACTTTTCAGGCCGGCCTCAAATTCATCATGATAAAAACTCGGCTCCTGCACAATTTAACGCCATTTTGCCCGAAGTGATCCCGGTCTCTACCCAGCCTGAGGCGAGTCACGAGTGAGGCAGGACAGGAAGCCGGAGTCACGAGTCACAGGAAGTCGGCAGTGATGTCTTGCTGGACAAGAATCAGAGTCCGAACAACATTTTTTCATTCGGACTCGAGTCCGAATAGTCACTTCGTTACTAGGTATGGGTAAATGTAGATTCTAGATTTACCTAAATTCTAGATCTACACATCAAAGCTACAATACAGTCGAACCTGCCCTGATGGCCACCTCTGTAAGACGGCCACCTGTACAAACGGCCACTTTCCATTTCCCCCCTTGCGTTTTTTCTATATAATTTAACTTTGTAAAACGAGCACTTGTCCAACGGCAACGCGGCCGCGGCCACAATAATTTAACACACAACCCCTATAATACTAAGCAATAATACCTGTCTAAGACGGTCACCGTAGTGACTCCATTACGTTTTGTCATAAATTGTGCATTGTCCCCTGGCGTTGTGGGCGAGCCGTCATAATTCAATCACCTGTCGTTGTTGTTAGGTAGTCCCTCCAACCGATCATGTTGCGTAGGCCCCTCCCACTGAACAGTTGACCAATAGCTACCAATTTTCAGCTGCTGATGAGGTAAGCGTGTGATCCCCCATAACCCATAATCCCCGCCCTTAACTCATACACAAATCGTAAGTGAGATGAGTGGTTACTGTTTACCCAGTCTGTAACAAAGTAACAAAGGACGTCAACTTGAACTTGTTACAGAAAAGCGTCCCTCGTTCTCCGAGTGGTGGCGACCCATGTGTTTGTTTTACCATGGCACTCGGTCTTCCTTGTCTGATACATTTCGTTTTATTGTCACCATTGTGCAAAATCAGCGACAAGATAAAAATTACGATAAAAAACGAAATACAAACCAACAGCAACAACACCAACAAAGACAACAACAATGGGGCTACTTTCGATTGGGGCCTCAGGTGGGAATGGTTTGTTTCCTTTATCTTGATCAGTCCTGCCTAAGACGGCCACCTGTCTTATACGGCCACTTTTCTCCTTGACAATGGGTGGCCGTCTTACACATTCTAAGTAAAAGCAGTCACAAAACTTCCGGTGATTTTTGTAGTTTCGTTCTTTAAAGTCCAAAGCTGATCTCCAGAGACCCTGAATTGCCATGTAATCGTGAGACTGGAAGGAAACACTAAAGCCAGAAAATCAAAATTCAAGCGAAGATAATTTAGATCTAAACGTTTTTTTCATGTCTTCCCCCACCCCCATTATTATTCGCCGGTTTGGGCCCCCGAGAGTCAAGAGAAGGGGGGTTTGAGGGGGGCTTGCCCCTTCCTGACCTAATAAAAATATGGAGGGGGGGTAGGGGCTCAGGGGGGCATGCCCCCCTGAATTTTACCACAATTTGATGTTTTGCAGAGGTTGCATCCCTATTCTTTGTGTTGCCTATTTGGTCACGTAGACTTCCGAATTTCTTCTCTGAATGTAAACAAATGGATGGTGGACATTAACGAGCGGAACTACAAGATCACCAAACTTCCTGCTATGTTGCAAACTAGAAGCTAACATTAGCCCTAGAAACGCGAGCAGCGTTTCACCGGAATTAACCCCGCCAAAAATGCCCCGCTGCCACGGCCGATCGGTTGTAAACATGGGGGTTTGGCGGGGGGGAGGGGGTATCAGCTGAGATACCAGAAATGTACGTACCTCTGCCACTGAAAAATGACCATTTACGGCTCAACAGATGACAAAAGACATACAAAATCATCTTAAAGCTAATAGAATGAGCCATTCAAAAATGATAAGCGATCATATAAATACAATCAAAGCTCAAAACGCGACAAACTCAACAATTAGTACATCAGCGAGGCGGAACAAGTGATTATAACACATAGCGTGTAGTTGTTCAGCTGGACCGCATCACTTTGTCGATCGATATCTTAGCCAAGAGACGCTCTTCGAGGTCAAGATAAAGTAACTTGCAAAGTCATTGGTCACTATTTATAACTTTGACCTGTAATTTACGTCATTTTCCATAAAGGGAATACTGAAATTTTCCATTGAAAAAGGTCAGCGCTTCTATGCCCTTTATGCCTGCGCGTTTCCCGGTTGAAGTAGGTCAGCCCTATATATAGGGCCTGCGCGCTTCCCGGGTAGCCTGGCTCACGCCCTTTATATAGGGCCTGCGCCCTTCCAGGGTTAGGCTATCCACTTGAAATTATAAAAATTTATGACATTATTATGCTTTGAACTTTGGATACACCACTTTCTTTGTCAAAACACCATGCAAACTTAAAAAATCATGGCTTTTCTGGTTGTCTTCATAGAATATTTAGATGGTGGAGAAAGAACTAAGATTTAAAACCTAAGCGAAAATAGTGGCGCATAACGTGCAGCTTATTAAATCTTTAACCTTCCATTTAAAATCAACTCTTCTGCATAATTCTTTCGTTTTAAAAAAAGTTTTAGTAAAGTTGTTTTACGTCGGTTGCAACTGCATAAAAGGTCATATATAATGCAGTTCTTCCACTCTTCCGTGTATTTTTACGGAAGTTCGTACTTTCTGCCAGTTCCGTACTTGTTCCTCCATCATTATCAACTCCCTCCGTAAAAAGCTGCGATGGCGTAGGACTACCGAAATTCCGTAGCAAAAGATCCGTACTCGCCTTCGTATCGTCTTGTACTAGTATAAGTTAAGGATATTTACGGTTATTCTCTCAGCAATGAGTTAATGTTATAGAAACCTGCCAGATTGCGCATTTCCTGCCATCGGCCATTATTCTGCTCTATGCCCTATGCATTCATTGCGGGCTTGTCGGCAGTACTTTTTTACCTGTGGATTGATCATAATCTGGCGAACTTTTTGTGCCAATTTCCTCCTTTCTATCATTCACTCATTCCGTCTGTCTATCTTCGGATTGTTGCTGCGGCTGGAAAATATGCACGTTGATCAAGTAAATTGACTTGTGATCTTAGTCAGAAAATTACTGTCAGAAAGAAACTTTTTTACAAATATATGACTAGATCTAGAGAAATGGTCAGTGCGAAGATTCTTTGGCACGGGAATGCGATAAGGGCCGCAATGAAAGAAATTTATGCTAAAACCAGCCTAAAACTACTAAAGTCAAGAATAATTTGAAGTGGTGTTCCGAGGTTGTGACAGGCTTGAAATTTAAAAAAAATTAGAGTATACGACGGGTAACTGTATTGTGAAGGTACATATCTATTCATTATTCCCAGGTTTGCCTTCTATCAATGGTGTGATGACAAATTAATTGAATTATAGTAGCAATGGAAGGGGAACCTGCTTTTAAACATTGCCATCAATGCAAATATAATATTATGTAGATTCTATCTTGGTGAAGAAATCAAACAAGACAAAATGTTGGTGAAAAAAGAAATGTTATGGTTGGCAGGCAATCTCTTCGAACAGGCTCCCAAATGCCATTTTCAACCCTCTAATAGCACTAAATTTCAATTTCTTCAGGGGCTTCGCCCCCTGAACCCCCACTGGGGCGCTGTCCATGGACCCTGCTGGGGGCCTATCGGTCCCCAGACCCCTGGCAGAATTTTCCTTACTTTTCAGCTTCAACTGGTGGAAGCACTGTATATGAGCGCAAAGGGATGGATGTCAACAGAGAAGTCGAAAGTCAGAACGGGGAATCAGGTGTACTTGCTGTGTCCACCTCTCTAGCCTCAACAGCGCAAAGTCTGCTTCGACTATGGAGGCACCCCGGAAATATCAGTTCACAAGAGACTGACAAACACTTTCGAAAGAAGTAGAGGAAAATAACGATTGTAAGGATGAAGAAAGGAAAAGCAGCAGTTCCCCCTATGTTATTCCTGCACAGTATGAGCATAACATTCATAAATCAGCCCATTTACAATTTTACTGTGCATATAAGAACATCATGTAGCACTGCCCTGGTGGGGGTTAATTCGTTAGTGTTTGTGAAAGTACGACCTGAAATGCTTTTAAACAAATTATGCTTGTTTTGCGTCAAACTGATCAACAAAGCGTCACCCAGTTGTAGACTTTTATCTTTGACTTTCGGGTCAAATTACCTCTTTATCTCCGCAAGCCACTCCCAGCGGCTTGTGGTCAGAACTGCTGTTCCGGTGAGCTGCTGGCAGCGGCTTGAACTCCCTTTACAAAGACTTTGACATGATCAAATATAACTTTTTGGCGATTGCCTAAACAAGGTCTCTTTTATCCGGATTTCATTCATTAGATGAACTATTTTATTTTAGTAATCATAGCTTTACTTGTTTTGATTTAATGACAAATTAATATTTAGTGACGTTTTCGTCATTTTTAGGATATTTAGACTAAAAAAGAGCAGCGGCATAGTGGGTTTACTGGGTTTACCCCACCCCCATCCCCACCCCCCTAGGAGATAAAGGATTAAAGGCTTCTTGTTATATATAGCTCGTAATTTTTTAAAACTTCGCATCAGATGGTGGTATCGTCCAGCTATAGTTATGGATCCCAACTACCGGAGGTTGCTACCATCCTGACATGGTTAAAGAGTTAAAAACAGTTTGGCATGAGCAGTGAAGCAAGCAACGCTGTGAAAGGTGCATGCGCAGAACATAATCTTTGACATTTAACCCTGTTCACAACGTTTACATGCATACAAAGCACACTGGGCGTAATGAAAGGTGCATGTGATAGAGATCTATCTATAGAGTAAAGGCTAATCTATGACACTTGACCCACCGTGCAAGCGCATGCACTGTTTCCTGGTGTACGTAAAGATCATGACGATAAATGTTCAATAGAGGTACCAACATCTCGTACGCAATATTTGCGACAGTTTTGATCACATTTGTTAAAATGCACCCTACAAAAAACATTGCTACAACAGTCAACTCAAGATGGGTCCAATTCTGCAAAATTACCTGCATTTTGTTGTCTTCAATCTATTCAAGAGTAATTTTTTTATTTTAGTATTCATGATACTTTTAAAGTAAGCAGGTGAGTTGTACAGTTAGATGATGATGGGAGAGGGCCAACAATATCAACATGAATTTTGGCTGAATTAGTGAATTGCTCATCAAGTAAAGTGAATTGCTCCATAGATGTGTGAGTTTGTTAGTGCACTTTTGAACTTTTATCAAACAAACAATCACTTTCTCCTCGACAATAGGTGGCTGTCTTGGACAATTTCAACTGTGTTAAAAGATTATTCATGACAAGTCAAAATCGATCTATATCCTCTCTTGGACTTTTGAGTGAAAAAAATTTGGCCTGTAGCCCTAGTCCTAGCCTAGAAGATACAGGTAGAGTAGCTCTCTAATTTCTGATCAATTCAAGTTCAAGATGTTAGGAAAGACTCATTATATTGTCTTTCACCACGGTTTTTGAAACAAAGTTGAATGCCTACCACTAAACAGAGCATCACTTTCAAGTAGAAAGGATACATTTAGAGCTAGACCTTCACTTGAACAATGGTTAATAAGCGTGAAGTAAGGAAAGACTGACTTTAAGTGGGCGTTTTGAATCGAGTAACTTTGAAAGTTGAGGTTCTTATTGAGGGAGATAATCTTAGATTATAAATATATACAGTGGAATCCTGTTATAACGAGAGGGAGGGGACCGGAGCAAAACGTTATAGCAGGATTCTCGCTATAAGGGATCCAGTAATAAATTCAAGGGAAACTGTAAAGTAGGCCTAATCTATGAGTTTGGTGTTCTGTTATTTCCTTTTGCTATTTCCCCGATGATGATTTTGTTTCAACATGACCTCTAGGTCTTACTTGATAAAAAATCGAATCGGGTTTCTTTCTCTAGCGCTAGATCTAGCGATGTGGACTGACAGCTCGGCGTTGGCGATCAGAAAGAAAGGGCTCTTGGTTAACTCGCCTGCTGTGTTTTCCCCCACTCCACCCCACTCTGTAATGCATTCTGTCTGCTTGCGCACGTCATACATTCGCTCCATCCATCACATTGCTGTGACCTCTCCATCCCTGCATCGGAGAAGTGAGAGGCATGGTAGGCCTTGATAATCTAAGCCGGTCGCGCGATGCGTTCTGCTTGTCTGCGCATGCCACAACCTCCCTACTCAGTCGCTCCGGCCTTCATTGTTGACGCACATGGGCTCTCCCATTCTTCATTACACAAGATCACCAACAAGTTTCTCAACTGGCGAGGTTTTGCATAATGTATAATTGGCCTATGCACTGTGCACAGCAGCAACAATATTCCGCTATAACCGACTCGCATGTTTGTCTGTTAGTGCTATAGCAGTATTTTATTTACAAAGGTAAAGAGGAAAAAACCCCCGAGGTTTTAGAATAGTGTCTTTATAACAGACTTTTAGTTTTTTCCCGGACTCGACTCGTTATAAGTGGACTCCACTGTGTGTATATATATATTTATATATATCTGTGAAAATGTAAAAAAATGTTGACTTTTGACTTGTAATTTTGACTTTATAATGATTTTGTTGTTGCTATTCTTTTTGTGGCAGCCCTTTGACAGAGAGGATTGATTATATTTGAATATCTTTTTTTTGGAAAGGTAATGATTCTACTGACACAGAATAAACTTAGTTAGAAAAGATGGTGCATCCATACCCATACCGATAGTAGTAAGGAAGGTATTTTCTTTGCAGTGCAGGTGCAAGGAAATCATTTTAAAATTGTGAATCTTGAACTTTAACTTCAACATTTTGATTTTGGCCTCAGTTTGTTGGAGTAGTGAGAGTTGAATTTATAACGGTCGAAATTTTCCTAGATGGCCACCCACTGTTGCGGAGAAAAGTAGTTGTCTAAACCAGGTAGGCGTCGTGGACAGTATCATTTTAAAAAAGAAAATGCAAAGGGGAAAGTAGGAACTGGTCGTTTATACAGATGATTGTCCTTAGAGCAGGTTAGACTATTTTAACCATTTAACACCTAGAGCAGCGTTTCTCCGAGTTTATTGATTCACACCTAGAACAACGTTGTGCGCCGTTTCAATCGCCAAACGCGTGACATTGCCATGTTTTGCATTCCTATGAGGTCGAGAAAGAATATATCCAATTTTAATCATTTGAAAATGAGGTTGTAAAGGGAAAGTAGACTTGTTCTTCTTTCTTTGAGCTTTTGAATGGTTAAAACTGACCCTGAAATAGTGTGTGTGTGGATTTTAAAGTAAATATGTCGAAATGGAGGGGACAATGGAGTTGGAACTTGGACAAATCAAAAGGAACTTGGAAAACACATAAAAATTCAGCCCGGAAAGTGATTTCAATCAAACAAAAATGTGTTAAAAGTTCATTTCACAGTCTATTATGATATTTTAAAATCACAAGATGAGTTGGTTATTTTTTAATATGACGAAATAGATGGGTAACGAATGAAAACCTGACAGTCACTAACTATAATGGGAGAAATAAATATCTTGCCCACACAGTACCGCAGCGGAAAACTGGCTCGTTGGAAGCAGTATTCTTTTCCTAGTATAGTTGCGTTTTTCCCGCGATCATTTTGTAAAGGGCTATTTTATTATGAATTTTTTTTTAAACATCATGTTTGCAATTTTTGGAGGATTATAATGGCCTGTTCCAGGATTTCGGGGGATGCATCGGGAAAATTCTCTGGAGCTAAATTGTTAATGAATTTGTGGGGAAACGGGGATGCCTTTTAATTAATGTTTTTTTTAGGCGGTGCTAGTTGTGTGTGAATCCCTATTTGATCATAATGACTTGTTTTTTCGTTTGCAGTCCCGAAAAACAAAATTGTTGCCTTTAGGATGCCAAAGAATTGCCTTGTCTGCCACGTCCAACTCCCATGCCCAGCTGTCTTTGCGGCTGTACTCGGATGCGGCTCCTAGCTCTGCTGTGAAAGCCACTGATGCACAAGTCAATGTACAGCCAGTACTCTCTGATGATGAAGAGGATCCATACAGGTGATGACATTTTGTCATCATTATTGATATCTTATTATTAAGACTTTGGATATAACATTATTGTAAAAAAAGTATACAGTAGTCTTCGCCTAAATTCCTGGTGCTCAGGAGCAAAGAAAATGCGGGATATTTTTAAGCGAACCGGGATCTTACCCGACGAACCCAGGGAAGAATCTATGGTGACCCATGTTAAGGCTCACAATCGGTAAAATGGTCTCCCTCCACTCTAAAATGAACTGACGTGACCCCTGGGTGGGTTTATGAACATAACATATGGTGAACAAAGACAGGTTAACCTTGATGACCTATCACAGTGCATAGTGGCATCAAGCGTGCCATTTTCATTTATTATCCAATCGTAAGTCTCAAGATTTATGCTTATCCAGTTGCCCCTCCCTTTTACCTGTCGAAAATTTATAGTTTTTCTTCTCTGATCGAGTTCCCATACCTTTGTCGTTACGCACTGTTGCGTTGTGACCACACCAATTAAAATTCAGTCTGTCTCACAAATTCGGGAATAGAGAAAACTGCTGCAATGGTCAGGGAAGAGTTCACAGTTCGATGTGATCCCGCCTGGAACGAGGTGATGTAATTTTATGTAGAGAGCTCAGATGGGAGTGTGATGTTTGGGGAAAAGAAACGCGCCAGTCAGTTTATACATTGGTGTGATCCCATCTAAGGCAGACATTGTACCGTTTCATCGAGTTTTACCCTTATAAATGTGATCCCATTCACAAGAGTAGCTGATTTTGACGCGACGGGCAATTAATTTATCTCAATTTATCACTCTTGGCTGATCGGCTGTGCTCGCCCAAGTTTTTACTCCGTAAATTATGATCAGAAATGCGGGATTGTAGCCAAATGTAGACCTTCAGAGTGAATCAAAGGGGGAACTTAGGGGTGACTTTTTTAATAGTAAAACTTCTATTTTCTTAAAACAGTGGGATCTAAAGCGAATTGAGATCGTAAGCGGTGGGATCTTAGGCGGAGACTACTGTATATGTTAAAAAAACAAAGAATTGTAAATTATAGATATTTTAAAAGAGTCTTATATATATATGTGTGTTTTAATTTCTTTCTTCCACGTCATTTACGAATTTGCGAAAAAAAAACATTATTTCACAGTAAATGTATATATAAATAAAGTTATAATTTTAATGAAATTATGGAACTCATGTCTGCACTTTCTAGTAAGAAATCTATTCATTTTTCGTCCCTAAGATAATGTTGTAGTGATAGTAGTAGGCTCTTGTATGTTTTTGTTCTGATAATATTTGTTTTGTTTTTTTCAACCATCTTAAAAGTGTACAAAGTGATATAAAGAAACAAAGAAATTGTTGTACATCTGAGTCAAACATTTTTTTCTGTATAATACCACCTAACCCTTTTTGTATTTTGCTTTTGTTTTATCCTCAATTTTGATTTATGTGTGTTATATCTCAAAAGGATGCTTTCTTTGTCTCTGAGAAAAGAGACTTGAAAACTGAACTGGCTTCAGATTAGGGCGAGTAAGCCTTATTATTTTCCTTTGTGTTACTCTTAACTCACCATCTGCCATCACCCCTTCATTATGGTTAATATTTAGAGGGATCAATGAGTCATTTTCGCCTCTACCTCAAGTATTTTATGCTGTGCTTTTTGATGTTGCTGCAACCTCTCTGCTCGTAGAGTCTGTCAAAGAGTGCAGGCAAGTTGTCGGAGGGCCCCCATTGGAAGGTGTTACTTCCTTAATTTTTCTCTGGTTTCATCTGTCTGCCTGTCTAGCTCTTTCCCAGCACTACATGGTCATTTTTATTTTGATGTGCTTCTCTTTACTTAAAACAAGGCAAACAGTGCAGTTGTCCGGTCTCTTCGTTTACGATTGTAAGTGCTTTTGTTTTCAGCTGTTCTGTGTGTCTCAGTCTGCATCGATCAACACTTGTTAGTTTTCAGATGCACAATTAAGGTTGTACTTCTTTTTTTGCCGTGTTGTTTTTCTCTGACTTTGCACTCCATCCCAGTTTCTGAAATTTTTGACACCCCTTGGCGGTGCCACCTACTAAAGTGTCTTTACGCCATTCCCAAAGGGGGGACATTTCTTGTTCTTATGCACAGTAGAATTATAAATGGGTTGATTCAACAATGTCATGCTCATAACTGTGCCTGAACTATGACAAGGAACTGCTGCTTTTTCTTTCCTAATCCTTACTATCGTCATTTTCCTCTATTTCTTTTGTATGTTTGTCACACTCTTGTGACCCGCTATTTCCGGAGTTCCTTGAAAGTTGAAACAGACTTTGTGCTGTTGAAGCTAGAGAAATGAGCCGAGTAAGCCCAATTCCCTCATATGACCTTATCAGTTGAGAGCGCTGTAAAACCTCTACTAAAACTAACTGAAATTTTTGTATTCTATTTTTCAGAGAGCACTACATCCCGGTTACTCGCCAGTCCCTTATCCGACACATGATTGAGGAAAGAGACTTTCTCACAGACAAAGAGAAAAAGATTTTTCCAGATTTTGCCCTTGCTCTAGACAGTGCTCTTGTCAGCAGATACAACCATGTTTTACAAGAACTGAAAGTAATTTTTTATGTTGTGTCTGAAATGAACAATGCATGCATAATGAATTTTTGCTATTTAAAGAAATATGAATGATGCTTTTGAAATTACTCTTTCCGTTTCTGCCACAAGATAAATGATGTGACTCTATTTAGCCCAGCTTTGACTATTATGGCTTTTTGTGTCTGGACAGTCTTAAAATGGTATGCATATCTAGCTTTACCTGGGTGGTAGACATAGAGAAAACATTTTTAAAAAATAAAATAGTAGAGGGTTTTACGGCGCTCGCAACTGCACAAGGTCATATGAGCGCCTTGCCCAAGTACCACTCCTCTCCCCTCAGGGGATCTTGACTTCTATAATATACTCTAAAGTAGAGACATGGTTAATATGTATGGAATCAAGGAAGCTGCAAGGGTGTGTCTTACTGTGTTACTGGGCCTACTCATCTACGATTTAAAATGGGTTTTTTTGACAGAGGAAGAGGTTAGGAAGAATAGAAGAAGGAGCAAAAAGAGTAGGAGAAGAAGAAGAGAAAATTGGATATGCCACCAAGGACAGGGTTTGTTCCTTGTACTTTTGGCGTGAGAAGCGAGCACTGTACCTCTGGGCCACATTTCCCCCCTGCTTTAGAGGCTGAGGAAAAAAAAAATGGAGCGACTAGTTTTCTTGTAACAGCAGTGATTTATACATTCATTTGAAATGTTATGTGTTCTTGTCTAGTTGCACATTTCTCATAGGGTTGGCGCAGGTCTCTATTGATTGAAAGCTGAGTTTGCAAGGAGTGAGTTTTCACCTGCAACTCAGTAGTGTCATATATAGTAAATTCATTTGTGTGTTCCCTTTGATTGACATGGAGGGTTTTTTTTGTCTTATACTAAAATACATGGGAGTAAAACTTTGTGCCTATGTCATTTGGAAGTGCAAGAGATTCTGTTTGAATACATTTTTTCCAAATTTTGTGATTAGAACATCTGAACAGTGGCTGATGATTTGTTTGCCCTGTGGTGCAGTTGGCTAATGACACCAGCATGTGTCACAACAGTATGTTGTTGTATTGAGTAGGAGGAAAGAAATGATGGTTTGATTTTATTTTTGGCATCATCTTATGCCTTTTCACATACGGCATTATATATATGCTTTCACTGCAATGTCTTTCTCTTTCATACTAAGACGAGCCTTTACTCTTTACTTTGCCAGTTGTCTCCCAGATCACTATTTGAAACAAAAATGCTTTTGTGGGTTGTTGGTACGTTCTGCTTTTCTTTCTCTCGGTTGTTTCTGTCTGTCTGTTTTACTGTTTACAAGACTTGATGATTACTTTCATGTTGATGTTCATGTCTTTACTGAAAACCAGCAAAAGAGCCAGGGAAAAAATAAAGATTTGTTGGTTGTTTGGTGGGTGCTCTGATGTGGTTTTCTCCTTTCTTCCTATCAAACATCTATCGTTGTTATCTCTCCTCCTTCATTTTTGTGCTTGTTACCCTCTTGTAACACAACAACTCTAATCTTTGGCACGTATATTACCTAATTTTTCTTCCAAATGCTGCAAAACTCTTACTCACCTAAAAAAATGCTTTTGATATTCTATCATCAGGTGTTGTTTGATCCTATCAACCCGGACAAGGATACGGTAAAAACTCGTGAGTGGACACGAGGAGAGAAACTGGACAATGAGTTTTGGCTGCTACAACATTTGGAAGATGTGATGGAAAAGGCCAACTTTTACGAGCTGCCGCGTGCTAAAGTCGAGCGCTTCCTTCAAGAACACGAGGCTCATGAAGGAGTTCGGGTGAGCGCTTGCTTTTGAGGTTATTGTCCTGAGGTCAACACTTGTCAGAAATGTCTTACATTTGGAGTTTTGCTGGTATTTAATTACTCTTTCATCTATTCTTCCTTATGGTCGTTGTTTCTTTACTTGCAAAATTTTTTTTATTTAAGAAAACTAATATTTCTATATCAGTCTCATTTTCCTTCCTTTTGTACTTTAAGCTTGGCCTACCTACGTTAAAGATATAACATATATGCTATGCCAATTTCTTTTGCTATTGTATTTTAAAAGTTTTTTCTTTCTTTGCTTTAAAGCAAATATCTTTCTTGTCCGCTCAAATGAGTTATCAGAAATGTTTGGATGGGCAGAAGTTGTTTTGCTCTGGAGACAAAATGCGATTTGCTGTATTTTATGTCAGTGCTCGGACACGTGAAGAAACTGCTTTTAAAAATGCTGCAAGGTGCGTTTGACTGGAATGTTCTATTTGCCATGTTAGCACCTATTTTGTTTTCTTCCTCTGTCATTTATCATTTTGGGTAGATTGTTATTATTGTTGTGGGCATCATTGCTGAAGCTCTGTGGTCATGCCTTCCACACAATACTGTGTAGTAGTATATAGTTCCTTTTTTTTCTGTTTTGTATTAAAGGAGTTTTTTGAGGAAGGAAAATATTTTTTAGTCTATTCTTGCAATAGATCATAATCTGACAGATTATGTTGCACGAATCACTGTTATGCATTTTTAAAAGAGTAGCTTTTTCAATCTGTCTAAATTTGCAATTATTAGTTTGTTATTGTATTATGTGAGGCATCATGGTAATATCAGGTGCCTGTCTAAATATTGAAAATGAAGAAACTGGCATTTTTACTCCTTTTTTCTGCTGAAAAACGTTGATTAAAGGAACCTAAAATGTAAATTCGCAGTTTCCAGGTACCTCCAAGCTTTGGAAGTCACCAAACTTTGTTTGGCAGCCATTTTCTTACTAATTTTATCTCTGAAACCAAGCGACCCCTACCCCCTTCAATCAAAAATATTTCAACATCTCTTCAAGATAGATAGGCAATTTTTAGATCGAAAGCAAGACGAATGAACAAAAGTATATCAATAACTCCTTATGCCCTGAGATTGATGAGCACCTGATTCCACTGCTTTGTGACACATGTATGTACTTGTTAAAAGAGAAAGGGGGAAGTGGGAAGTGGCCATTTGTTCTGGTGATTGTCTTTTACAGGTGGTCGTTAAAACAGGTTTGACTGTTGTGATAGGCAGGAAGCTGAATGCAGCCAGTTTTGAATTTTAATTGAGATAATGTTCTGTCTTATGTAGGTTTCCAATCACCCCTTGAAGGTTGGTCAGTCTGCTGTGTTCTTTCAAGTTGACAAATTGCTTGAGCTTGTCAAGTTTGACTTGAGTCTTGTATATTTTGTTTTGTTGTTAAATTTTCCTTAAAATGTAAAAAAAACCATAATTTTCAAACATGTTTTATTTGTTTTCATTTTTCTTTTTAAATGTATGGTTTGAAGTTTTAATATTTGTGACTTTTTATGTCTCTAAAGTTAAGTTTTTGGACAAATTTATATGTTTTTGTAATATATATCTTTGATTTATTATATTTAGGTGCCTGTGTGCCCTTAGCACAACAACCACAACTACATCTTTGGAATATATTCTATTAATGTAGACATATACATTAGTACATAATGTGCATGAATAGTACACAGTATTACAAATGTTGACGATCCACACACCCCATTGCTGTTCATCACTGTGCAACACCCTGTTTTTGAGCTGTGGTTATTGCCTTGCTCTAGGACACAGCCCAGTGACCACCCACCTAAAGCTACTGTTACTGACACACACTTGACATTTGTGAGCCTAAGCTCTTTGACCACTCAGCCACAAGAACTCCTTACAACTGCTTTGGGGATTCCTGTCTGCTTTGAACCCATACTGAACTGTAGATGCTCGCTTTTTTAAAAGTGGATTTGGAAAGCAACGGCTCTGTTTTATGGTATTTTATAATGATACGCTAGGATTGAAATCTACACTTTTATAAATTGGTAAGCTGAAAATCTTGAAAAATCCAGCTCCTTCATGTTTTCTTGTTCTCATGAATATTGAATGCTATCTTTGTTTAAATTTCAAGGTCTGAAGAGTGAGTGGTTTCTTTTAAAAAGTGAAGTAAAGATAATTTTAGATAGGAGACTGCTGTACACAGTGTCATTATACTACAAAAGAAGGCGTCGGGGGAAAATGAGAAGTAACCATTTGTACAGGTGATTGTCTTTTAAAGGTGGTCATTGGAGCTAGTTCGACTGTATTTAAATATTAAGCCTGCTAACTTTTTGCTTTTACCTGCTGTGGGAGTAACAACTTTGAGTTATAAAATGGACTGGACTACTTTTGCTACGTTAAATGATTTGTTACTAAGCTGTCTTTGTTTAATTTGGCTGTATAGGTGAGCGTGAACCCCAATCGCTACGACGTGCTGCGGTTCTGGGTGCTGGGACATGAGGTGCCGGAGGTGCAGCTGTCGCTGAAGGAGAGGCTGATGAACAAGCTGCTGCGTCGATCTCCACGTCCAGCTGCTGAGTACTACAAGCGAGTTGTGGTTGCCATTAGGCTGAAGAAAGACTCCAAGCTGATCCTCAAAGCTTTCAAAGAGGTAGGGAACTACAGGGTTCTTTTTTTTTAGAATTAAACACTTGAAGACCACAATGGAAAATATAATACTGTGTCTTTCAGTTCATCATGTGGTTCTCCTATCGTCAGCATCCATTTGTGGATGGTTGGAGGGCGCCACTGTAGGTCTTACTTCTCTTCTGTTGTTTCTGTCCGTCTGTTTTGCTTCCCTGCACTTTATAACCATTATTGTGTCGATGTGCTTCTCTTTACTCAAACTTGAACTAACTCAATATCCATTATCCTGTCTTTATTCTTTTCATATGTAGAAATGACAAGTTTCTTCTGTTCACTTGTATTAGGTCCCCACCAGCAGTCTTGAGATGTTGCTGCCAGATGGAACCATCCAGATGTCCACCATGGACAAAGGTGTCCTCGTCACCTCTGCCGGTATTGCAGCCTTTGGTGTGTTGGCCAAAGCAGTCACTGTTCTGGCTAGTGTCCATGTAAGTTTACCTTTGTCTGTGTCTCCAAGTGGGGTGGTTTGGGAATGCGTGGAAATCGATATATACCAGGACTGTCCCACACTTAATTGGAAAATAGTCTTATTTCAACCGCTTTCAAATATTTTTCAGTTTTGTAAAAAGTTACTAAATAGTAATCAGGTTGATTCTCAAGGCAGATGCACAATTAAAATGTGCGAAATGAAAGCAACAATTTAAATACATTATAAAGAAGATGGCAACTGTTATACACAATTTGTCAAAACGAGAAATTACAGCTTAATGTGGGTTTTTTTAGTCAAAAGGAAAAAATCTAATTAAAATTCATTGAGAGCTTAAAAGTGTTAATGATGACGATGTTTTAAGCAAGCCAAGGGTCTGCCATTGGTGCAGTTGATTTGAATAGGGGCATAGGCTACAAATCTACATGACGATCAAATTGGAGACTGTCATCTGTCTGCCAACATCGAAAAAATTTCTTGAAGAATTGAAAAACTCATTTGTAATGACAGGAGGTCAAAGTTGTGAAATTTCTGATGCTGTAGATGTTTCTAAGTCAACACTTCTAAATGCTGGCAATTACCTGACTTATTTGTGTTGTAAGTGCCATAAAACTCTTACTAAAATGTAAAAAAAAAAGATACTCCAATATAACATATCCATCCAAGTATCTGGTGCAAGACTATTGTGTTCTTGTTGTTCCGTTCCCAGTTATTTCTTTTCTTTTTTTTTTCTCTTTTCTTTAGGACGAGCCTGTAGGTCTGTGTTGGAAATTCTGACTTTTTCATTTTTTACGTTTTGCAAAGGTTAAAAGTGGATGAATATTTCCCCAGGTTGACTGGATGTTGTTGTTAACGCTGGTCACTGGCTCGATTTCCTTCAGAGCATGGAGTTTGTACAAACACAGGAGGAACTCTTACTTAGTGGATGTGTCCAGGACTCTTTATTTCAAGGTATCGTTTTTTTCCCCCATCTCCAGCGATAACTTACTTGTTGTTCTTACCTTGATCTGCACAATGATAAAACAAGACTGCTCAAAGTTTAATGGAAGACAGAAACAAATGGGTATGTGTTTATTTCCGTCCCTCTGTAAATACCTAGTAAAGGTAATAAGGAAGAGATGATTGTGGGTGGTTGGCGGGTGCTCTGGTGTGGTTTGCTTCTTCTTTCCTATGAAACATTTGTGGTCCTTATCTCCCCTTCTTCTTTTTTATGTTTGTTACTCTCTTGTAACACCTCTAATCTTCTGGCGCTCATATGACCTTATGCAGTTGCGAACGCCGTAAAACCTCTACTAAAACTAGCGAAGAGATGATTGCAAGTTATTTTACGTAAGTGTGTAAAATATCTTACTATAACAAGAATGACTGATGAAAAAAAAAGTTAAATGCAGGCCAAGAGCAACATGTTTTAAAAGTCTACCTTCTTGGGCAACTGGAAACAGGCTGATTTTATTTGCTTGTGTGAAATACGTATATTTGGTAGCAGCAAGATAACATCAGGGTGGATTGCAGACATATATATATCGCTGGTGGAGTGATGAAACCTCGTAACCCCAGAAAGGAAAATTTTACAGGAGAGACAAAAAACTGATTTACTCTTGAATAAAATGACCTATAGAAACCAAAGTTGGTACAGATAGATAAAAACACGTTAGAAACGTGGTTAGCATATAAAAATAACTTTTATATTGTTTATGTGGTTACGCTGTGGGATGCGAGGTTTCATTACACCATTTTTGTCGTGATGAAACCTCGTAGTCAGCCGGCGGGTGGGTTGCGAGGTTTCATCAGGACAGAGTTTGAGGGTTGCGAGTTTTCTCGCTGCTCATTTTGGTTGCAGTAAGCGTCTGTTGTTTGAAACGCCACCAAGTGATAAAGATGTTTATTCTAAACCAATTGGTTTGGAGTTCGATTCCCGGCCAACTGAAGTCAAATAAATGTGCGTTACCTGCAGAATTTATGTTTCAATCCTCAAATGGATTGCAATTAATGCAATTTGTTTCACTATGATTTGCCAAGATTAGATCTGGTTACTTCCAGTTTTGCTAAAATGCACAAATTAATAATAAATCTCTGCAATATTATGGTCTCTGTTTGCACTTCAGGTGGTTTTCATAAAAGATGTTGAATCATAATGAACAACCATTAATGTTAATGGTATAAATTGTCATGAAGTGACGATGCACATTGGCAATAAAAGATTGAAGCACCTGCAGGTGATTGTACTTGAAGTGCTGGAACTTAAACGTTTAGTGTAGAGTGGTGAGGTAGGATGGACCTTATGTTTCTGTGTCCAGCCTTCGGAACGTCAGGCCATTCATCCTTCAGGTGCATCTTGAACTGGATGTTCATGTCTGGGATGTACTTCAAACACCTGACAACAGGATCACCCGTTTTTCTACCTAGTCTTATAGACTTGTCGTAGCTTCCACACTTAGAATACTCCTTGAAGAATGTGTGATCCAAATATTTGCTTTGATAAGTTTCTTGTTTTGCTCTTGCCATCATGAAGAAATGGAGATAGTCTTGGAGGAGTTCGATGCATGTTTTCGAAGCGATCCCTTAATAGTAATAGTTGAATTCACACTGTTAATTTCCATTTGTGTGTTTCATTTGATAAAAAGTTTCAGTTCAATTGTGCTTCGGTGTGTTGTTGAAAAAAGGCTGAGAGAAACATTGGCTAGTGTGACATTTCTCTATCGGTAACCACAGTTGTCGCTGTCGATAAGGGTTTTCTGGAAGTCCAGCTTTTCCTTCAGGAATTCCAATAGACTCATTTGCCATAAGTCCCCCTTCTGTTTCATGACACACATAAAAAAGTAGTCTGACGTGTTGCAGCATCCAATAGCGTAAAGTTATGAAAAGCGAGTTTTGTTTTGTAATGTAAGGCTGATGCTGAAGATCCATTGAAAGTACGGTCGTTTTAGGTTCATTACTGGCGAGAGATTTGATGGCTTCAGATTTAGCTCGTTCCTTTTCTTTGCGCGCTGCTTCCTTTTCTAGAATGTTAGCATTCCAAAGATCCTCCAGCACATTGTCAACTTCACGACTGATGCAAAGGTCGCACATGTCTCTCGTTGACAGGAATAGCGACAGGTGATTCTGCTTGAATGCTTCATCGAGGCCGGGTCTGTTGAGAGGCCGCCTCCCGTGGTCTTGGCAGACTTGTGCATATATGTTGTAAATATCTGAGTTACTTTGATAATTATTAGTTCTAAATGTTTCTTACAAATCATTCATCCAACCCAATCCAGGAACATCTTTGAGCACACTGGCACCTTAGGCCACCTTTTTAAAGTGTTTATTGAAGGTATTCCCTCTCTGAATACCTCCTCTGAGGTCCACTAGTCATCCCATGAGAGGGTCCACACTAAATCAAAATTAGAATGTCTATCAACTTCAGAGAGCCCTTTACATTTCAGAGTCCAGCTCTTGCAATCACAGTTTGGTTTCAGTAACTTAGTTGGGCTTTTCATTGAACCTTTATGTATTCCAATCCTGTCCTGATCCACGGATAGCTTTTCGCTTATTTGTTGCCACTCCTAAAAACCCTTTCTTTAACTCTTTGGAGCATCATTTATGCTGGTATCACAAATGAGCTGTGTCTCGGGATCAGGCTCCAGGAAAAGTGGCTAATGTGCCTGAATATGGTCTACAGATTGTGTTGCTGTGACCTCAAAGGTAATAATTCAGCATCTGACTTACAGCTGCCTGATGAAACGTCATAGTGGTTTGGGGTATGATTCCAGGCGACACTATTGTTGGTGCAGACTCAGTCTGGGATGATGCTGATACGTCCTTGTCTACACATATCAGGGACAGCCCTGGAAAGGATTGCGATATGGTGGGTGGGGTCAATTCATGGAACGTGGTCTGCTCAATGGTTTCCAAACCAGCCTTTGTAGGGTATAAAGATCTAGCTGATGAGCACAGTTAGAAGGAGATATTCAATACAGATTCGGAAGTGTTCGTATTACTTGTGTTGTTGAGGCACAAATTTGTCACAATGTCCTCTAAAGACTTCATAGTCGTCAAGACCACGGTTAAGTTCAGCACTAATCGCTCTCATTGTCTGAGACTCCCCCGGGGCAGTGCCACTGACTGAAGTGTCTTTAGGCCATTCCCAAATTGGAGGGGGGGGGGGGGGGGCATTTTTCGTTCTAGTGAACAGTAGAATTGTAAATTGGCTGATCTAACAATGTCATGCTCATAACTGTGCCTGAACTACATCAGAGAACTGCTGCTTTATGTGTCCTAATCCTTACTATCGCCATTTTTCTCTACTTCTTTTGTATGTTTGTCACACTCTTGTGACTCGCTATTTCCGGGGTACCTTGATACATGTAGTCGAAGCAGACTTTTTGCTGCTGAAGCTAGAGAGGTGAGCAGAGTAAGTCTGATTCCCTGTAAGGACTTCTCTGTTGACATTCAACCCTTGGCGCTCGTATAGCCTAAAACTAAAAATAGTCTGAGAAAATGCGAAACTTTAACCTCTCTTTGATAAACAGAATGGCCTGTTGACATCTGGAGAGTGCATAGATCTGTCACCTAGTCTTAGTAAGGACTACCGTCACCTGTCATTTCAAGGTGTGACTGTTGCCTTAACTTAAATGTTAACTACGTTTGTGCTCGATGAGAACATCTTGATTACTAGCTCGTTAGTCATCCTTATGAGTGGATTTTTAATATATTTACACAATGTAAGTACTTCACTTATGACCATATTTGAACTTCTGAACTGACTAAAATAAAGTGAATGAATAAAAGAATGAATGGATGTATGGAAGAATGAATGAATGAAATATTTCTTTATTCCGTCAGATACATTAAATGCACCAGACAATGTCAGTTATGAGCGCTTCAATTAAGCTAATTCATAAAGAAGTCTTATCCAGAACCTCGTATAAGCAAGTCGCTCTCTCAAACCGGGAGTGATGAAACCACGCAAAAGCAGATCGGCGCACCGGGTGAGGGTTGCGAGGTTTCATCACGCCAGGATATCATGGGGGCAAACATACGAGGTTTTTTAATTAATTTTTTTCATACTTTCTCTTACTTATTTAACCTATTGCTTTTGACACATTGTGAAGAAGGACTGGGAGAAGATGTTAAGCCAAAAAAACGAATTTCGAAAAAATTGAGGGTTACGAGGTTTCATCACTCCACCAGCGATATATTGTTATTATACTCCGCCTTCTCGTTTTTAAAGTGGTGTTGATTTTAAATTGATTTAGTGAAAAGGCACTTAACTCTTTCGCTACGCCGAGCCGTGGGGGGGGCGGTGCGGCTAAAGTGCCGTCAGTATGCTAAGCCACCCCTGGCGGCTCTAGAACCGATCTTCAATTTTAGCTTAGATTCTATTCCAATCCAGCATGTTAAAATAAAGGTCATAATATAATGTCAAGAGTTTCCACCGAAAATCGGAAGTTTTGATTCAGTTTTGAAACACGATTTCAAAGTTTATGCGACTTTGTTTTATCGCGATGCTCAAATTATAGCCCAGAAACCAGTCTTACAACTTTTACACAAAAAAATATATAATTATTTTGCACACTAAAAAAATCAAGGACTCTTTAGAATATTCATACAATTGGGTTCAAATAGCCATTGCTCTGTTATTGAGGAATCAAAATTTTGCAGTGCTAGATCTAGATTGTCAAATTATATTTTTCTTCCAAAAATCACTATTTTTGGTGAAATTACACAAAAAGTACCTCTCAAGACATGTGTAGGTTTATTCTAAATGCAATCGTGAATAATTCCATTTACGATACGAGTGTTTTTTTCTGTTTGTGAATGCATCTTGTCCATTTTTCAAGATGATAAAATTTTTGTATTTTTTTTTCAATATCGGATGTCATGATCCAAATGTGCAAATTTTATGGAATGCATATAAATAACAGCAAATTTTTCACTATTTTCCAGTTCTATTTTCATTTATAGTTATTTTGATGTATCTTTTGACTTGGTGCAAACCTATTTGTTGAGTTTCACCGAGGATGATTAATTTTTTATTTTCAAATTTTATCCACGTCCAAGAAAAATTGTGTTGCATAATCGCCTCTTACAGGAAACAAAGTTGAAAAATACACAAATAAACATAACAGATGTATTCTACAAATGATACTGAAAATTTCAGTGCATAGTATGTTCATATTTATTTGAATTTGCGGCCCCAAAGACCTTGAACTGCGCACTAGTCATCATTTCATTTCGCCTTCCCGAAAAAAATTCGTCCTCAAGCCGAAAATAATACGTAGCGAATGAGTTAAGTATCCCTGAGTAGTTCTAAATGAGTCTTAAGGTTCTTGTTCTTTGCTTTGCTGAAATCCTTTTTAGCTGGGCTGGGTTCTATTTAAGTTAGAAATTAAGAAATTTTTTATTGTCACACGTGTTGTCTGTCTAGTGGAGCTTTATAATTGTTTTAGTTTTTAATGCTGGTGGTTGGAGGATGCCACAGGCAGTTACTAAATCTTTACCTTCCCTTTGACATTTCTGTCTGTTTGTCTACCTTGTTATTTTACCTGCATGAAGTGACTGTTATTGTGCTGAAGTGTTTCTCCTCCCTCAGATGGAAACTTAACTGAATTACAATGGAGTAATTTTAAATGAGTTTTAAGTTTACCTTACTGAACTTGGGCAGTTGGTGGTCACTCTGATGCGGTTTGTGTCTTCTAGCACTATTTACTGTCATCCCTTGCTACCTTCATTCTTTTTCAATCCTTCAAAAGCACAGGTACTTTGGTGTTCCCTCGACAACAGGATTGTCCAAGACATAACTCCACCAATCACCTGCAACCATGAGATTATTGACTGACAGTCAGGGCTGAAGTATCTGGGAATCATCTTTGACAAGTCATTGTCCTTCAACAAGCATGTGGATCATGTTGTTACAAAGGCCAAACGAGGTGTGGGTGCAGTCAAGACCATGGCAGCCGCTTTGATTCCACAAAAAGTGCTCTTCCTGATGTTGCAGCTGGTCGTCTTGTCTGTCGTTGATTACGGATTGGGCTTTCTCGCGCTGTCGGACACACAGATGGCAAAGCAGCTGGATTGAGTGCAAAATGAGGCAATGAGAGCAGTGCTGGACTGCACCAAGGACACTCCAATACTGAGCATGCGCTACTTACTAGTTTTATGTGGTACCAGAGTACACCATAGGATAGCTCAAGCAAAGATGTATCAAAGTGTAATGGGCAAGAAGGATCATCCACTTCACAAAGCACTTCTTGACAACAAGAGAGGCAGAATCTAAAGAGGAAAGTCTTGGATGGTGAAAGCAGAGGATTCTTATTGTCACTTATATTGAACTTTGTTTAGTATATGTATGAATTTTGATGCCTGTCATTAATCATTTTTAGCTCATATTATTTTATTCTGTTTTCTTCTCTTGTCACGCACGCCCTTCCACCAGAATGTGGCCAACAACCGTGGTCTGCTGTCACTGCTGGTGGATCGAGCAGAAGATGAAAGCTTTAAAGAGGCTCTCCTGACATACGCTTTCCTCCTCAATTCTCGGCCAGAGGTCACACGAGACAAACCGACCACAAATTACCTGGTCAATCAGCTTGGTAAGATGGCTTTCTGTGGAGGATGGGGCCAGTAGTAGTTTGTAGTTGTTACCTGTTCTTCTAGTTTTTGGGGGGGGTTGATTTTGCTGACCTTTTCATAATTTACTGTCCTATTATTGATGGCCTTTTAGGGTGGCTTTCTGTTTGTATTATTTTTTTGTATACTTTTAGCTCAGTTGATGCAAAAGATCCTGGTTTCAATCCTAAATAGGGGGGTTCTTAAGCTGGTGGACAGTGGAGTTTTGGCATTGTGGTAAATTTGTGAAAACCTGCGAAGGATTTGTTGTGTTAGATCTACATGGGTCAGCGTTGTGTCATTGGTGTGGACCAGGAATCCAGTTTTCTTTAAGTTGTTTAAACAAAATGAATCCACTGGGAGATTATCTATTCATTCATTCGCTACGTATTATTTTCGGCTTGTGGACGAATTTTTTTCGGGAGGGCAAAATGAGATGATGATTAGTGCGCAGTTCACAGGTCTTGGGGGCCATAAATTCAAATAAATATCAGCATATTATATACCAACATTTTCAGTATGGTTTGTAGAATACATCTGTATTGTTTATTTGAGTATTTTTCAACTTTGGTTCCTGTAAGAGGCGATTATGCAACACATTTGTGATTGGCTGCGGATAAAATTTGAAAACAAAAAATTAATAATCTCAGATGAAACTCAAAAAATATGTTTGCACCTAGTCAAATTATACATCAAAATAACCATAACTGTATATAGAACAGGAAAATATTGAAAAATGAGCAGTTATTTACATACGTTCCATAATATTTGTACATTTGGATCATAACCTCCGATATTGAAAAACATTTAAAAAAAAAAAATTTTGAAAAAAGGATCCCAAACAGAAAAAAACACTTGTATCTTATATAGAATTATTCAGTATTGCATTTGGAATAAACCTATACATGTCTTTGGTAGTACTTTTTGAGTAAATTCACCAAAAAGTAGTGATTTTGGGGAGAACAAAAATATTTGACTATTTAGATGTAGGCCTAGATCTAGCACTCAAAAAAATTGATTTCTCAATTACAGTGCACTGGCAATTTGAGTCCAGTAGTATCAATATTATAAAGAAGAGTCCTACATTTCTTTAGTGTGCAAAATAATGATACATTTTGTTGTGTAAAAGTACTAAGACTGGTGTCTGGGCTATAATTTGGGTTTCGTGATATAACAATGTCGCATAAACTTCGAAATCGTCTTTCAAAACTGAATTAAAACTTCCAATTTTTGGTGGAAACGCTTGACCCGGAAGTCAACTTTATATTATGACCTTTATTTTAACATGGATATGTGGATTGGAATAGAAACCAAGCTAAAATTGAACGTCGGTTCTTGAGCCGCCGCGGGCGGCTTAGCGTACTGGCGGCACTTTAGCCGCACCGCCCCCCACGGCTCGGCGTAGTGAATGAGTTAATTACTTTAGCTTCGATGGCCGCAGTGGTGATGTAAGTTGGAGAAATAAGAAATGAACTTTGGAAATACTCAGTCCATGAAGCAGCCAAAACCAAACCAAAACCAAAGACATGGAAGTTCGTTTTGTAATCTGCTGTAATACCTTGTATTTAATTCATTATTTCTAAAATGTTTCGAAATAAGTTAGTTGCACTTTTTCGAGATTGTTAAAAAAAAATTCTCTTCTTTTTGTTTGGATGAATTATTCCATTGGAGGGGATTAATTCTCCTGTTGTAAGAATTCAGGGAAAGTATTGGAACGCGCCCAGGTTAAAAGGGGTTAAATAACCTCACAGTGTTGAAAAGGATGGGGTAATAAACCCATTAGTTACAAATTAATATGTGCGTGGCGAAGAATACAAGTAACTGTTTTAACTCAGTGAAAACTACTCCCAAGTGTCAGTTTGTCCAACCTTGATTTCTCTGTGTGGCTGCTCAGTGGCGACCAGCTATGGTATTCTTGTGAAATTGTTCTGTATTGGTGTAATATTCAGTGGCAGTGGGTAGTGAAGGGCTCATGGGCTTGAGCCCCCCTCCCCACCCCCCAACTCATCCCAAAGCAAATGAAAATAACGAAATGAGCAGTTGAAACTTTTATCATCGCACGCAATGAACACAGAGTGATCAACTTGGCGGCTTGCTCATTTATCCAATCACCGTTGTCGCTGCTTACAACTATAGTAACCTAACAGCCAATCAAATGTCTATAGGGCTCAGAAAAGGACGAGTCAATTCCCACTGCCCCTTCTTAATGACGCTCTTGTAAAAAGGTAGAAAACTTTTTAAAAATAACACTGCAGAGAGGGCTCACGCTCTCCTAGCCCTGACAATGGGATGAAAGTTTACGACACACTTTCCCCCAGTGACACAGTTGCCTATGCACCCATTGGACCTTTGTCAGGTGCGTTCTACTGTCCGTGACTACACAGCTGAATCCAACCCATAGATGGTATTAGTTTGGAGTGCTCTGTGTACATGTTTGTGTGTGTACTGCTGAGATTTAAGTTATTAATTACATCTAATCACTTTTCAGGCAATGTTTTCGTCAGATGAAAATTAATTAGAGAAATTTGGAGGTGAAACGACTTCGTCCCCAACATCTAGAAGAATGTAACGTAGAACAGAGAGATAGCACGCTAAGGTGACTTCTCGTTTGAATGGTTCTCAATATGCCGTTGCTCTCCATGAGTATAGAAAAACCATCACTGTTTTGGTTAAAAAGTGGAAGCATCCTAAGCCCCACCCAAATTTTGGTCCATCCACCGCTACTGGTAATATTGTGTATTGGTATTCTTTGTATTTAAGCTAGCCCAGGATAGAGAAAGGTGGAGAGTGTTTGTTCGTTGCCTATATCCTGATTCAGGGTGAGAAAGGTAATGATAATGATGAATCTTTGTATGTATATTTGTGTGTTTAGTGATGTATAAATTTGTGCATGTATGTTTTTCATTGTAAGCTAGATTTCTTCAAGGGGATCAGTAAGGTGTAATTTATTAGTTATTTATTTAAATAATAATATGTTTCTTGCTGTCTCTCATCATTACCAGGTGGCCTCACAGAGGAGGAGATTCAGGATGAGGTGGAGGACTGGATTGAGCGGAAGACCGGCGTCCAGCTCAGCTTCGACACTGGGGAAGCAATCCGCCTGTTGCAAGATCTGGGGCTCTTGTCTGAGAAAAATGGCAAGTACCATGTACTTATGCTAGACGCAGCCCGTCGCATCCTGCCGCAGAACCCGCAGTCAGTGATTGCAGGCCGTGTCACGGAGGCCGATATCACCGAAGGTTACGATCGGGACGAGTATCTAGAGACGGAGGAAGAGTATAAGGCAGAGGAGGAGAAGACGCGGAAGTACGGCTGGTTTTGAAAGTTGTGAAAGAGTCGAGCTTCCCTCCAGCCCCCACCCTATCCCCGCCACAGTTCTTGTTATTTGAAATAGAAATCTTGTTTTGAAAAACTCTGCCTGTTGTGAGATAACGATGATACTGCTACGTGGATGTGATTGATGGTTGGAACGCAACAGTAGTTTTGTTTTTTTTGCGTACTGGTCAAGTGGTTTATGGGCCTCTCCCTTCTCTCTCATGATAGTTGTTTGTACCAATTATTTTCTGGAAGAGAGTAAGGAAAGTGTGAAATAATTTTGATTGCTTGGGATTTTAATAGCCAAAATACTGAGATTTCTGTTTGTTTTAAGAAGTGCTTTCATATTATGTTCTGTGAGTGTTCGAGCATTAGTGACAATGGAAATGCTTGTAATATGCGTATTCTTGAACAGCCAGTCCCTCTAACCCCTTCACTGCCAGGCACAAGATTGTTTTTGGTTCATTGAAATGTTTTTTTGGGGTTTTTTTTTTTAGAAGACCTGGCAGTGAAGTTTAGTCAAGTACACCACTGATTGCCTACAATATTTTGCCTCTTCATGGAATATTGGAAGTTTAGTGGTATAAGTTAGAGATCATTAACATATTATTTTGCCTTTGTTGTGATCTCAGTTTTGAGTTACAGACACAAAGATAGTTCTGGTGTCATGTGCCTATGAAATGTATGAAAGTATCATAATGCCAGGGAACCTGTTTATGATCTTGTGCGAAAGTGTTAATGTACATTTTTTCCTTTAAGTAAAATGTCATAGCAAGAGTTCTAATATCTGGAAATATTAACAAGTCAGTGAGAGGAGTAAGTGCATGTTGAAGTGGTGTGGCATGGTATACATCATGGTTTGGGCTTTGTGTAGATTTATCTGTTACTGAATTATAATCTGTTTTAATTAATATATATTAGGATCATTGGGTAGTTATTAACGACTGTATAACAGTGTGAACCTATGCAGTGGAGTACAGTGAACATGTGCAGGTTGAAATGAGGGTTTTCAGAAGTTCTATTTAGAATGTGAATAAACCATAGGGTGCTATAAGTCCCGCTGTTAAGAAAGATGTTTGGCATTGCCTTGTAGTCAAAAGTTCTGTTGGATTCAAAATGGAATGACTGGGACCATTGAGCACCAATTGTCCAGTTTTCCTGCTGTTTTTGTCTCGGTTTTCCTGTCATACATTTTCGCTTTCTAAGACAAAGATACTTGTGGGCGTGCTGGTTGAGAGATTAGAGGCGTGACGAGAGAATGATAAACACAAAGAAGAAAGAGAGATAACACTAATTGGTGTTTGATGAGAAAAAAAGGAGAGAATCACACCGGAGCACTTGCCAACCACCCACTAAAACTGACCGGGTTTCTGCCCTTTCATGGCAGCAGACGGGAAAACAATTGCCCCAGCCCCCTAAGCTGCTGACTTGACCCTGTGCAGACTTGACCACCGGCTGTGTGCTCTATCTCTGTGGGAAGTCCAGCAGGTGGTCACTCATTGCTTGCCCCGGCCTTGCAACTGGATGCATGTTATCTCTAGTGAAGAAAGCGTTGATGTAATCCTTATGGCCTATGTCAAACTTGGGATTCCAAATCTGAATTATTGAAGTGAAATATGAGTGATTGTACAGAAATGTTGGCAACCTTGTATGATGGCATTGCACAAGCTTGTAAAATTTGTGATAATGTGTCAAAGTTAATGAGATGGAAAAATTTTGTTTAGTATAGTGCTCTCTCCCCCCCCCACAACCTGAAAAACTCCCTCAAATTCCTTTTCTTTTTTTTTCTTTTTTTTTTTACAACAAATAAAGGGAAGTGAAAGGGAAAGTAAACAACATGAAGCTCTCTGCAGTGACAGATGTAAGAGAATGGCTCTGTCTCTCCAGTGGCCTTTAGTTGTGTTGCTGTAATGGTTATTTTTATTGAGTCTCATGTTCTGTTCATGTATCTAAAAAAAAATTTGTGAGTCTTGGATGAGAGTTTAGTTTGATTGTAGTAGGGTCTCATTACATGCGTGTTGTGCTAAAAATAACAAATTAGAGTTATGATAACTATGCAAAAAGAAAATATTGGTTTTTGTTATCTTCTTGTAAATCTAGTGCAATAGAGTACTTTTGCTGTATGGATGTATGTTCAGATTGCATGTGTGTATGCTGAAACTCTGCACGTTAGAGAATGTTTGCTTGTTTGTGTTCGTAAATGTGAAGTCTAAGATCGAGTTGTGTAGTGTGTTGATTTGTCATAAAGGATTACTTGTACATGATGAATTTTCACTAATCCCGTTCCTCTCAGAATTTGTACGCTGTACATTTTCTATTCCATAGTATTGTTGCTTGTATTTATTATGTGATACTATCTGGTTCCTATCTGAGTGATCTCTCTGTTCTGTTTGCATTTCTGTTTCTGATACTTTTGGAGTATGTATGAAGTTGGAGCATTAGCGTATCTTGGCGGAGTGTAGACACAGAGAAGACATGTAACTTAAATCACGTAAATATATAAATAAATTTGTATATGACTTGACACTTTGTATTCTTTGTGTTGTGGATTAAGTTACTAAGTGGGTGGTTGGCGGGTGCTCTGGTGTGGTGTGCTTCTTCTTTCCTATCAAACTTCTATCGTTCTAATCTCCCCTCCTTCTTTTTTATGTTTATTACTCTCTTGTAACTCCTCTAATCTTCTGGCGCTCATATTATGACCTTATGCAGTTGCGAGCGCCGTAAAACCTCTACTAAAACAAATAAGTTACTAAATTCAGGGGGTGGTGGGAGGGTTCCACTGTACTTTCTCTTTGTTGTTACTGTTTGCCTGTCTTACTTTTTTCCAGCAGTTAATGATAATAATAGATAGTATTTGTATATCGCATATCCCCGCTCAACAGCAGGCTCTATGCGCTTTACACTATATTATTACCCCAGCAGACCATAGAACACTCCGAAACATTCTCAGCTTCCCGGGAAGCATACAGTGCAAGCAGCCGATTAAGTGCTCAAACACTAACAAACTGACAAGATCTTTCGCTGTCTATAGCCGGGTACCCATTCCCACCTGGGTGAGGTGAGGAAAATTCGCGTAAAGTGCCTTTCCCAAGGACACAACGTCGGGCCCTTGATGGGATTCGAACCCATAACCTTACGGTTGCGAGTCCGAGAGCCTAACCACTAGGCCACCGACGCCACACATGGTCAGTTGATCAGTATTATGTTGCCGTTGGTGTTTGCTGTGTTATTTCTCTTGTTACGTCTGTGTTCACTTGTTGCCTTGTCTGTCATTGCGTCGTTTGTGAGTGTCGCTCAGTGTGTTGTACAGTTGTGCTGTGTCCAGGGTCAGTTCTATTTCTATTCTTTCCTTCTGCTGTTTCTGTCTGCTCTGTCTTTCTTTCTTTTATTTTTGTGATACCTTCGTATGTATATGTATGTATAGTATAAGGTTTTACGGCGCTCGCAACTGCTAAGGTCATATGAGCGCGCGAAACACAAGTTGTTCACTTTTGCAAAAGTTCACTTCACGACTGGTTAATTAATTTACTTTAAAATGCTAAAAAGTTAAAATATTTAAATTCGGTGTAAATACATTTGTGATTTAAAACAACTCTTTTAAGTAACAATAAAAATTTTAAATAATATCAAATTCACTCTACAACTCGCCATAAAGGCCAATGGCCTTTATAAAATTTAAAATTCTGCTGGGAACAACGACGGAAGAAATATCCTGCAATTTCTTGCATTTATAATATTTCCTTCGGATCTCTCCAAAGTCTAGACATTCTGTTAAAATGTGTCTTATGGTAAAATCTGTGTCGCATCCCTTCACATACCTATTCATACACCAATTATTGTGAGGCATCATAGTGAAATCAAGCGCTCGTCAAAGTAATGAAATTATCCAAGACTTCTGTATTTTTCTCACGTGTTGGGAATTTTTTTTTGCATTTTTGTTCTTTGGGTCAGCACCTTTTATATGTCCATTTAGAAATACTTCAGTATGCGGGTTGTTATTTAAAGGCATAAAGTGGGTAGTTGGCAGGTGCTCTGGTGTGGTTTGCCTCTTCTTTCCTATGAAACATCTATTGTCCTTATCTCCCCTTCTTCTTTTTTATGTATGTTACTGTCTTGTAACACCTCTAATCCTCTTGCACTCATATGACTTTATGCAGTTGCGAGTGCCGTAAAACCTCTACTAAAACAAAAACTAAAGGCACAAAAAGTGTAAATTTTCACTTTATTTCTAGGGACTGTTAAGCTATGGAGGTCACCACACTTTGACGACCATTTTGTTATTTATTTTACTTCTGAATTCAGGCGGCCCCTTTTCCTTCAATCAAAAATATCTGTGGGTGGTTGGCGGGTGCCCTGGTGTGGTTTGCTTCTTCTTTCCTATCAAACATCTATCGTTCTTTTCTGCCCTTCTTCTTTTTTATGTTTGTTACTCTCTTGTAACACCTCTAATCTTAGGCGCTCATATGAATGACCTTATGCAGTTGCGAGCGCCGTAAAACCTCTACTTAAACAAAACTCATCTTTTGGTGCTCATATGACCTTATGCGAGCGCCGTAAAACCTCTACTAAAACAAAACTCATCTTTTGGCGCTCATATGACCTTATGCAGTTGCGAGCCCTGTAAAACCTCTACTAAAAGAAACAAAAATATCTTGACTTCTATTCAAGACAGATCTAGGTATTGTTTTTATCAGAAGCAAGACAAATAAACGAGCTTTAAAATGGTAACAAATACTCCACACTCCTCATGGCCAAAAAATGACGAGCGCCTGATGCCCCCATGTTGTGACAATTGGTCTTTATTATGTCGATGTGCTTCTCTCTACACTCAAACAAACAAGCAGGGTTCTGAGAAAATCTGTGAAAATCTTCTTTTCTAACAAACATCTATTGTCTTTATCTCCCCTCCTTTTCTTTTTATGTTACTCTTTAGTAACGCATCTGATCTTGGGCACTAAATGACTATTTGTGTTGCAAGCACCTTGAAACTTTTACTTAAACGGAAATGAGAAAATCTGGTGAGAGAGGCGTGTTCTGACAATCATTTAGTATGACATCATGGAGAAGTGACAGACTAGCTGGGTCATTGGAAAATGGAGAGAGAAGAATAATATTTGGTAATTCGGATGCATTAACTTTTATTCCCCCCCCCCCCCCCCCCCCCCCATTCTCGACAGCAGATGGTTGTAGGGTGCTATTGGTAGCTTCCACTTCTTTACTTTTCCTCTGATGTGTCTGTATATCTGTCTTGCTTTTTCGAAGCACTAAATAACTATTTTTGTGTCGATGTGCTTCTCTTTACTCAAACGAACTATTCGTGAGAGCGACCAGTGCCTGAAATGTTCACTTTCAACCACCTTCTGAAATATTAACTTTCAACTAGTTTCCAAAATATTAACTTTCAACTAGTTTCCAAAATAAATATTAACTTTCAAAGAGTGCCTAAAATTTTAACTTTCAACCGGTGTCTGAAATGTTAACTTTCCTTCCACTGAGCAAGGACTGAATCTTTTTTGCTCCTTTATCCTATGAGAACTGTCAGTGTTAGCTCAGTAGGTATCAGGCTGGACCAGAGAGCGGAATGGTGCTGGATTGAATCTTTTTACTTTGTTTTTACTTTTATCCGCCGCTTATACCTGTCCCCGTGGTTTTATGCAAAAACAATTCTGAAATTATGCGAACTGAGCCCAAAGATGTGAAATTATGCGATTCTGTTAACTGTTAAACAAAGAATGATAAAGGAAGATAATCAGAAATTATGCAAAAAATTATCAAATTTGGTTAAATTATGCGGGGTGCATAAAACCACGGAGGCAGTTATACCCTTTTGGGTGTCGCGTAAAGAAAGAGACATCTCTTGTATTGGGTGGTTGGCGGGTGCTCTGGTGAGGTTTGCTTCTTCTTTCCGGTCAAACATCTATCGTCCTTATCTCTTTCTCCCCTTCTTCTTTTTTACGTTTGTTACTCTCTTGTAACGCCTCTAATCTTCTGGCGCTCACATGACCTTATGCAGTTGCGAGCGCCGTGAAACCTCTACTAAAACTAAACTAAGACGTCTCTCTGCCACCAGCCGGAGAGCTTGGGACATGGGGATGCCGTGAGTTGTTAATATTTCCCTGACTACATCTATCCAGGTCTTTCTCGGTGGCCCTCTAGCCTTGTTGCCATTGAATTGTTTGATGTAGGCACGTTGTGCTGGATGGTGTGTTGGTAATCGCATGAGATGTCCGAATTGAATCTTCGAGGGGGTCATTTTGAACTTGGATTGTTTTGGGGATTTTTTAAAGGCTCTCCACACATTTGGCTGGGGCCTGAGTCCTGTGGACGTTTAAGTTTGAGGGACTGCCTCTTAACTTACTTTACAGCGCTGAGAGGGTTTTTAAATCTGCACAATGACCGGTGATCTTTTATCTTACCCTTTTAATACACACACTCACACACAGACGCACTCACACACGCACACACACGCGTGTGTGCGCACAAATACACACACATACACAAACCACACGGGCAAACATTCGCATGCGAACACACAAGCAGGCACATAATATGCACAAACTAACATAAAAAGGCACGATTGCACGCGCACACCCAATTCCATGCACATATTTGCAAACACGCACACATGCGCTCCCGCACATACGCAGGCACACACACACACACACACACTCTCTCTCTCTCTCTCTCTCTCACACACACACACACACACA